ATATTCTAAAGGATTAATTTTTGGTGATTTTTTATACACAATCGGAATTAATAGCAAGAATATTCTTATAATGTTATGTATTGAATGTAATTGGATATTCTTAGAAAATTATTATAAATTTTTTTAGTAGTTATTGTTAAGCTAAGATTTAGGAAATTGTTTATGCCAAATATATTCGTATTTATATACTTTACTAATCTATCTTAACAATAATAATAATAACAATTAAATTCGGATGTTTTATGGTAAATAAGAGAAGATCCATCATTTGCAATTGGATCATAAATTGAAATCATAAACCGACCCGATAATTAATATTACAGCATTAACCTTAATGAGTTTTTGTAAAATAATTAGTGGTAAGGGTAGTTAATGGAAATCGAATTTTTAAAGAGATGGTCAAAAAAATGGTTGCAAAAATAATAAGATAGATTAATTATATTGAAATAAATCGTTAATTATTTTTTATATTTAATGTTTACTTTTATAATAAACATTTGTTGTCTATAATTTCGATATCCTCAAAGGTTAAACACTTACAGATGGTGTTGAAAAGTAAGTTTATCTGTTAAAGCTAAATACAAATTTATGAAAAAACTATATATGTGTCTTTGTAATATATATTTATAAATATCATCAATCGGAAATAATTATAAAATATTTTTTAAACACCTATCATGCATGGTAGTTAACTTGTGTTCTTAATTTTCTCCTCAACAAACTCACTAATTTTAGTTTTTGTAGCTTTCTCCAATATTATAGAGTTGATCAATACAATTACTTTATCTACGATGTCTTCTCTTAAAGCCATTTCCATTTCGCTTAAATAACTTTATTTTTTTGGTTAGTCTTTCTATAATTCTTAACAAATATGTATAGTCATATTCAAAAGCTCAAACCTATACTGATCCCTACAAAATTTATAAACCAAATCAATTTTGTCAATTGTATTACAATTTTAGTGATTAAAAGAGTTTATAAACCTTAAAACAGACTAGAATAAACTTTTTTTTTTTGGGCAAATAGAATAAACCTTTTTTAAATCCAATTTCTCACTAAAACCAATTAAACTGTAAAGGGAGACAACTATGTCATCCATAGTGTCGAATGAAACATTTGTACGTACGAACAACCAAAACATTGGTGCTACTCTCACCATAGAAGTTGATTGTTGGGGTTTGAACTAATTAACTCAATTTCTTAACAAGAGGAAACATATTCGTTTTGATACCAACACATTCTTCATGCAAGTATGACAGCTCAATCTGTTAACAAGAGGAAACATGATTTAAAATTTTGAAGTTAACTCTCAACTGAGGAAGCCTTAAAAACTATACAAAAACATTCGATTATTAACTAGAAAGTGAGCTGAGAATTAAGTAAACATAAGCAACATGTGATCATACATAAAAACCATTAACATTTCTCTACAACAGACTAAAATAATTAAAACAATAATAGGTTTGAACTCGTGGTTACCGCGGGACGATGTTTTTATAAGTGTATTTTGGAAATAATATATATATATATATATATATATATATATATATATATATTATTTAGTTTTAGTTTTA